GGCCCACCCCACCCCACAGGGTTGTTGTTGTGGGGAAAACAGGAGGCAAGAGTATCAGGTATGTTTGCTGCTTTGAGTTATATATAAAAAGGGTTATATATTAAAAAAATTAAATATTGTTTGGGACAATAAAATATTGTTTATCTGGAACTTCATACTTTAGACCTGGTTCACACATACTAAACTATATCATATGGCTTGTTTGCTTTTGGCTTGGCATGGTAGATCAACCCATCCTTGTGGCCTTCATATGGGGTGTGAACCAGCTTGTTTAGCCAGCCATGGTGACAAACATCCTAGGTTGGCATTATGTATGAAGGTGGGCCCGGTCACCCTGGAGGCTTGCCATGTTTCTTCATTTCCTCTCCCCAGTTCAAGGGAAACCCTCTCTCTGGTAGTCATGATAGCTGGGGACCTGTTTCTCATCACCAGTTTCTGCCTGACAGGGACAGCTCTGAGCTTTGCTCTCTGATGATCTCTTTCAGGAGGCCTTAAAACGTGCAGCTGGACTCTGCCTAAAGTCATGGCAGTGGGAGCCAGTGGCTTTCTGCTCTTGGCTGGAATTGGGGCTGGACTCTGGGCAATAGGTAAGATTGAGTCAGAGAGGGATTGTTCATGATGTACAATGAAACCAGTGATTCTCAGCTGCAGGTTGTCAGGAACGGGGATATGTACGGAAGTGAGAAATGCTCTTTCTATCCAGATAGACTGCAATAGTTACAGTCTATCAGCTTCATTAAAAGTCTTTGCAATGATCTTGCAAGAAATGGCCATCATGTTCATGTTAGGCTACATCTGCCTTGGAACATCAGGGTTATGTACAGTCATAATCAGTTGAGAAAGACCCTGTGTGAATGAGTCACATTTAATAACAAGCTACCACTGGGAGACTCCAGAGTGGAAGAGACATTTCCAGGGGTCTCCCCATTGTGAACGGCAAGCATTACCTTCTGTAGCACATGGATTTTGCTGCTGTTGTCGCTGTCTCCATCTGAGCAATGTTCTAATCAACCTTGTTATCTCCCACTGCAGTAGCATCTGTGCTTGGAAGTGAAAAGGAAAGCTTATATGTTGGTGAGTAGGTCACTGAGGGCTGTGGGTTCTTCCACCTTCCACCTCCTATGACATAGATTCACCTTTTCCACCCTGAAGCCTTCAGGAGTGGTGGGATTACAGCTCCTCAAATTCCCAGCCAGCCTAACTAAAAAAGTGGCTCCCAAATGTGATAGCTTAGCAACCTCTGGAGAACTACAGGTTCCCTACTCTTGCTGTAACTGATGGGATCAGCCAGCCTACCTGGGGCAATAAGGAAAGTGGGATGTGGCAAGGATGGCCCTATCTTATGACTCCACTTTGTTCTGTTCAGTTCAGGTGAATACCGAGGACCTGCGCTTGACTGTGTATGATGAGAATGAAGGAAAATGGAGGCTCCTTTGTTCTTCCTCCTCTGATGCTCAGGTGGCAGCTCTCAGCTGTGAGGAGATGGGATTTGTCAGGTACACCAAGAACATGGCTGTGATGACAAGGTCTATAGGGGCTTGAGATGTCCACAGGGGCCTGTGGGAGGTACATCACACTAAGATGCATTGTTTGAATTGATATATATACCAAAGAGGCCATCTTCCCCACCTTTGGCAGTCTTGAAATGCAATCCCCATCATCCTGAGCCAGCGTAGCAAATACCTGAGAAGTGAGAACTTTGTTGGGCTCAGCTTGTCACAAAAAAGAGAAAAACTGCATCGGTGGGAATTTCTTCTGTGATGCAACTGTTTCTTACCCAGAATTTCCCAGTGTTTTAATCCAATCTTGAGATCATTTTGTTTCTCCTCCACCCCCCAGCGTTATATTCCCTTCTAGCTCTGCTTCAACAGTTGCACATTAGCATGGCTGTAGTGGTTTCATGCATGCATTTCCCTTTTCAGATGCCAGTAGTATATAATTATTGAGGATAGGCCAAGGTTGCGGACTCGAGCCCCTTTCTCCATGTGAACAAGCTTTGCACTTGCATAATGCATGAAAAGAGCAACAGTGGTGATAGCAGTCAACCAGGCTTGGGTGGGAGGTTGGAGTCCAGTACTGAGGGGTGTGGGCAAAGGTAGCCTGGTTTAAGTCAACACAGGCAACTGGCTGGGCTTACAAGTGGACAGAGTTGGTCCTATTGATCCAACCTGATTCCAGCTCTTACTAAGCTCTAACGCTCAGATCTTTTTGTGCCAATATGGGATTGTCCCCAGAGGTAAGGTGGAATTCAGATTCACTGGAATCAACTTGTTGGTCAACTTGCTAAATAAAATTGGATCTGCGCTGTATAAACATACTGTCATCTTAAAAAATCGGTGTGGTGCCACCATCAAAGGAGGGAAGAAGAGCTGTCAATTAGTGACAGAGGACCTGGAGAATGTCAGAGGCTCCGTCCTTAACATCTGAATCAACTCTGAAGGATCTCTGATAACAGGCCTGTGAAAGTCATCGATCTGTACTGATTTCTGTTTCAACTGAGGCTAATAACTTTAGCTAGTGATCACTTGGCACCTTATTGGCTATCAGGGCTCACACACATTCATAGCTCTCTTAGAAGGAATCCCATAAACATGCACCAAGAACAGTGGGTCAGAAATTAGTGGAGACATCTCCCAAAGAAAGGTTTTCCCAAAGCTACAGCTACTTTGGGCTCAGTGCTGCAGCCTACCAAGCATGAAAAACACTGTACTGGAATGCAGCCTTACCAAGTCATTGGTTAATGCTGATTTTCTTTGGGTTTGTCCCCATTCCAGGTCTCTCTCCCATTCGGTCCTGGATGCAGACAGTGTAGGTGCCAATGGAACATCAGGCTACTTCTGCGTGGATGAGTCTCGCCTGCCTTTTGTGCGAAGGCTCAGAGAGGCCATCTTTGTGTGGTAAGGCACTGAGCTAGCACTCCATTGGATTCATCCCACCTCTCCTTTGCTTAAATACTTAGACCTTCCCAACCTTGAATGTACACGATATGCTGCAAACATCTATTATTTCTAGCCAGCATGGCCAGTGGGCAAGAATAATGGGAACTGCAGTCTAAATACATGTAGCAATTCCTAAGTCTGAACACTTCTGAGTAAAGGAATGCATTTTTTAATTTATTTAGCTAATTGATATAGCCGCCCATCTCACTGAGCATGACTTTGGGCAGCATACAACCAACAATAACAATTAAAACAATATAACCCATTAAAATAATTAACCATAATTAAAAAATAAAAACCAAGATGCGGGAGAATAACAATCATCTAAAAAGAATATAGCCACCTTGCAAGCTCTTCATGGGATCCCCAAGGTCACATTTTAAGGGTTTTCCGGAATTCTAGGAGGGATGGGGCTAACCTCACCTCGTGGAGGAATGATGTTCCACAGGACAGGAGCCACAGCCAAAAACACATGTCTTCTGGGTCCCATCAGATGGAACTCCTTGGCAGACCGGACCTGCAACATACACCTCCTGCTGGACCTGATGGGATGGGTGTAATTGGGAAGAGGCGGTCCCTCAAATAACCTGGTCCTGTTGCCCACTTCCTGCTTTATCAGAAACGTAGTCTGCTGTGCTCCAGATGTTATGGATAATTTCCATCAACTCCAGCTAGGATGGATATGATTAAGGATTGTGGGAGTTCAAAGCATCTTGAGAGCATGAAGTTGTTTTGGTGCAGTCATGAAGAATAACTTTTGGTCCAGGACTTGATTAGAAGTGACATGATATAGCCACCTTTCCTAAATTGTCTTGTCTTTGCATGAAGTCTGTGGTGAAAGATCACTGGGATCTAAATGTAATCAGTCCATCATCATTTAAGAGAATCAAAATCAGGATAATAAATGTGTCCAACAGAAAGTTCAAACCGCAAGAATCTGGACTACACACTTTCTTGATAATGCCTCTTACTTCTTCTCCCATACATTTGAATTTTCTTCTCTTTCTTACAGTGAATGTCTGACAGGCCGGTTCCTGGCAACCCTCTGCCAAGGTATGGAAATTGCAAACTATTTCAAGGGTATCTTTCTCTGCCCCCTTCCTCTCCAATCCATTCTTTCTCACCCTGACCTTTCTCCAAATATTTCTCAGTTCTTCTTTGCTTACTCAGATGCTACATCCAACTTTCCTGTCTTCTGATTTGCTCAGATCTAGACTGTCCTTTGGAGCTTGTTAGTTTCAGCCCAAGGGCTCAGCTAGGTTATTCTGATATCCTTGGTACTCATGAAGAAGGTTTTAGTGTGATGTCCTGAAGGTATGTGGGATGCAAAGTTGCATCAGAACAGGTATTAACTATTGTACGCTTTACAGATTGTGGACGCAGAAAGTTGTCTGTGGACCGGATTGTAGGTGGCCAAGATGCCAGTTTGGGTAAATGGCCCTGGCAAGTCAGCCTACGTTATGATGGGACACATCTTTGTGGTGGCTCTGTCATCTCCAATGAATGGGTTGTTACAGCGGCTCACTGCTTTCCAGAGTAAGTCCCAGACTAGATATATGTTTAGAATGATATCCAGGTTTGCAATGTTGCTAGTTCTTAAGGTTTGAGCATATATTTCTGGGTGCTCACTAGGGATGTATATAAACTGTTGATGAGCCATTTCAGAGTTCAGAAGTGCCCTCCAGATGTGTAGGTTTCAATCCCCAGAATTCTAAGCAAAAGCCATGCCAGCTGGGGAATTCAAGGAACTGAAAGCCATCTGAAGAGTCCCCAGGTTGGAGAAGGCTTTATTGATAATTGTAGACTCACCCGAAAGCATTTACTCTGCTCTCTAAGGCCCTGAAGATTCCTTGAATTGTTAAGACGGTGACCTTGCTTAATGCGGCTGGGGTCCTAAGTCAAAATACAGCTGGCTAGTTACAATCTCAGCAAACTCTGTGAACTCAGCCAGTTGTGACTTATCCCTTAGACTTTGATTAAATAAATGATGGCTTTGGCCAATGTGTAAATCTAGCCACCAGGTTGCTCATGAATATCTGGCCTTCAACCCACAGTCTGTGGGCCCATAGACCCATGGAAAAGGAGAGCCCCCAAACACCACAGGGCTGTCTTTTTGCATTTTGAAGTAAGTGAAATAATGCATCTGGGCAGGGTTTGCACAGTGTGCTATGCTTGGTCATTAAAGCCAATTTCTGGATTTAACAAGCCATGCCAAAAAATACCAACCATAACCAAGGTTACAACGAACCAAGTTCAGCTTGTGATGTGAATGCAACCGCTAGGTCTTTAATTAACCTGATTAAACCTGTTAGATGCCCTCAGCTCTCAGGCGATCAGTTAAATCCAAAGTCCCCACCGATCCCAGCTGCTGTCCAACCTTCTCCTTTTGGGTCTGCCTCGCAGGAGGAATCGCGTGGTAAGCCGGTGGCAGGTGTTCGTGGGTGCCATATCTCAACAGTCCACTAGGGGGCTGCAGGTGGGCGTGGCCAGCATTGTGTACCATGGTGGGTACCAGCCCTTCGCGGACCCCAACAGTGAGGAGAACAGCAATGACATTGCCTTGTTGCGCTTAGCCACACCACTGTCCTTCAATGGTGAGAACATTGCCGGGGGGAATGGGTCAGAACATGGGTCATGACATCACAATGCAAAGTCCACCCTTCCTGTATTTTGTGTGCAGCATCTTCACAGTAGTACGAAAGGGCGGAGCTCATGTTGTGCATTTCATTAGTGGCATCTGGGGGGAGATCTGGGGGGGCCGAGTGATGCAAGCAGCCTTGCTAAGAAATAGTTAAGTTAGGAAAAACATGGAGATAGGAAACTAGACGTAGAATGTAGATCTAGTGATGCATAGATGAAATAAGATAGAAATAGCTGTAAATACATAATAGTAGAAAGAAAATAGAAGCAAGCATGGAATTAGCATTAAGTTTAGAAGTAAAGAATAGGAGTTTAATTTTGTACAATACAACTGTTTTCGTGGGAAAAACAAATGCAGTCTTTGTACCTGTGATCTGTACCGTATTAAGGAAATGCTAACAAATGGGGTCAGAAGTGGGCTATGGTACAGTATCCAGACCTAAAGAATAAAGAGCGTATGTAAGTCAGCTTGAAATGGAAAAAGAGGGAGAACCAGAACATGTGTAGGCCGAGGCCAGGCCTGAAAGTGAAGCAGACCCATGCGAGGCCATGATAGGAGATGCTGAGGGTGAGGGCTGAGGGTTGGGATGAAAGCTGTCAGAAAAGAGGAGGAAGATAGTTGGTGTAGGGCACGTGAGCGAAGGGGCTGCTTAGAGACGGAAGATTGGAAAGGGACTGGAAAAAGTGGAAAAAGAGATCTGAAGAGAGGACCTGAAGAGGTATCAGAGGTCTTGGAAGAAGTGAAAGTAGAAAATGGATTTGAAGATAATGTTATGAGGTCCTTTAACTGCTCTCTTGAGATCTCCCTTTCCTAGCAGTATCTTCAAATCCATTTTCTAGTTTCAGGCCTTCCAAGACAGACAGACAGACAGACAGACTGGACTTTACAGGAGGTAGCAGAGGGATGTTTGGTGATGTTATTTTCTCTTTTATATGGCTTCCCTTCTGCCCATGCTTTCCTTGTGAGAGCGGTCCCTTCTAACATCTTATTTTGGGTTTGAAGGGAAGGGCAGGGCAGGAAGTCACATGCAGGAATACATTGGAAGACAGCATATGTCCACATACCCTCTGGCCATCTTCTCCCTAAAGATTAATGAATTAAACTTCTCCCTAAAGGCCAGCGCCATCTTGTGAGAATTCTACTGAAAGTCGCTTTTTCTCTGAGAAATTTCAAAAGCAAATTCTCTCATCCAAGTGGTTAAAAAAAAAAATCAGGAGAAATTTTCTGTACACCATTAACATAAGCCACTTGCCACTCATGATCATGAACAATGTTCTTTTTTTTTTTCCTTACAGAATTTATTCAGCCCATCTGCCTCCCAGCACTGGGGCAAACTTTGGTGGATGGCAAGATCTGTACAGTGACGGGATGGGGCAACACACAATACTACGGTAAGGGCCTCTTGCTACCACGAGATGGCAGCAGCGTTTGTATGACTGGAGTCCACAATCAAACTGTGTGAGAGCTTAATTCAATTGGAAACTTCTGCTTTTGGGGAAGGAAGGGAGGGAGGGAGGGAGGAAGGGAGGAGAAGGAAGGAAGGAAGGAGAGAAGAAAGGGTAGAAAGAAGAAAAAGGGAGGGAGGGAGGAGGGAGGGAGGAGAAAAGGATGGGTAGAAAGAAGAAGAAGGAAGGGAGGGAGGGAAGGAAGGAAGGAAGGAAGGAAGGAAGGAAGGAAGGAAGGACGGACGGAAGGACGGAAGGACGGAAGGACGGACTGGCCAAAAGGAAGAAAAAAATCACACAAAATAAGGAGAGTATTTGTGAGAAGCCAAGAGGCTGACCTTAATTGCCCTGCATAAACCTGCATTTCACTCATGACTGTAAGCCACACAATTGCCATAAAGCAAGCAGATAGATGCTTTCTTTCCCTGT